GACTCATTTGAAGGTGGCTCCTGCCACGTTCTAATAGCAGTTTAAACTAAATTTTTTGTATCAAGTCCCTGAATGGAAGTATGACGTTGGGTCCCTCTGAAGTTTAATTCTGAGTTCTTATTAAAAGAAATTTGCTTTCGTTGTTTTATTTCTTAATTGCTATGCTTCAAAATCAATTTGTTATGCCCTTCTCCCCAGTATTGTAGAGCAAGTCTTGTGTTCAAAGCCCAGTGTGACAGTGTCATGATGTAGTAGTGTCTTACTGGTTTTTTAATAAATCATTTTGTATAAAAATGTTTTGGCTCTTTTATCCTCAAATTAGGGAAATTGAGGAGTTTGTCATGTGGATTAAAGTTATAAGAAATGTAAATATGGAGACTGGCAAACTTGGTAACCTGAAAAAAAAGAGTGAATTTTTAAATATTTTAAGAAAAAATTAATTTTGCCACAAACACCTGATTTTAGTTAATATGTGCATTATACTTTTCAGAACACATCAATCAATTTGCAAGAACTTGTTTTGCACAGATGTTTTATGTATAAACAAGATTTTATTCATTACAATCACAATGCAGCTAGTTGAGACAGTCTCAATTGTGGTGGACTTAACACTTCATAGATTAAAACTATATCCTGTGTTTATGTGTGTGTGCCTATTTGAATGATTTGGTTTCCTGTTCCTTTAAAGTTGCAGTGTTTAAGGCCTTAATATATTCCATTCAAGGATATGAAAGTAAATCTAAGAGATCTGACTTTGTCTAAGATGCTGTAATGGGAAGTCTCAATTACTTTGGAATATTTTGAGAGATTTTTCTTACCACTTGTTTTATTTGTGAAATTGTACAAATTTTGTGTTGGAAAAGTTTTTTAAGATTTTTTTTTTTTTAATTGGAAAGTCAGATACACAGAGAGGAGGAGAGACAGAGAGGAAGATCCTCTGTCTGATGGCTCACTTCCCAAGTGACCGCAACGGCCAGAGCTGAACCAATGCGTTCTGAAGCCAGCAGCCAGGAACCTGTTCTGGATCTCCCACGTGGGTGCAGGTTCCCAGGGCTTTGGACTGTTCTCCATTGCTTTCCCAGGCCACAAGCAGGGAGCTGGATTGGGAAGCTGGCCTGCATGAGATTCTGGCATGTGCAAGGCAAAGACTTTAGCCATTAGGCTATGGTGCCAGGCCCAGTCTTTAGCTTTTACTAGAGAATTTGATAACCTTCAGCTTGGAAAATCCTTCACAGTTTTTACTCAGGCATCAGTACATGGTTACTTAAGTAAATAGACTAGGTAGTAGTAAGTTAAATAGAAAAAAAGTAACATGAAGATGGTTTCAATTAGCTAACTTGCATAAAGTGGTTTTTCTTGTTTTTGTGGAGTGAAATTATGTTGAGCATTTGATCTCTAGCAAATATTTTAGTGAGCAGAGATTAATGTCTTAAAAATGTGTTACATTCGTTACCTATGATATGTTAGAGGCCTGAAGCCTATGTTGAGAAAATGTATGTTGTAACAAGGCCTTGCTTGTGTATTGTGTGTGGCTGCTTTGGTGGTGCAGTAGCGGAATGAAGTACTCAGTTACTACAGACTTGTAAAGCCTAAAATATTTACTCTGGATCCTTGTAGGAAAGGCTGGCTTGTCTGAAGTCTGTGAAAGCTTTTTGTTTTGGGTTAAACCTAGGGTTTTGTTCAGAGGCACAGAGCCAAAAGTGTCAAAGGGGATTGAAACGTTACCAGATTAATTTTTAGCTTTGTTTAAAAATTTATAAGCCATTTTTTCCTCTGCTGTCACATATAATGTGTTGCATGTTGAATTATGAAATAACCTGCTTTTTTAAAACTTATTTTGGATTCATTGCAAGTTTCTCTCTTGTCTCCCTTGCAGTGATGCATTTTTAAACAGTTGAAAACTTTTGCCTTTATACTGAACCATTTGGCGATTTATCTAGTTCATGTTTTTGTTAAAATTGAGAATTGTTAAGGCTTTACTACTGTTGGGGTTGCTTTTGCTTTTTGATTTAGATGAGTTTCTGAGGTGCCATTGCTGTGGGTGTGGAGCATCCTTGTAGCTTTGAGGGTTTCCTGTGTGAAAGGACCTGCTCTACCTTCTAGGTGAGTTACTAGGAAAGCAGGCTAGAGGCTTCCTAGCTTCGGTAAAGGTGCTTGATGTGTGTTTGAGCCTTTATCTGATGTATACTGTTACCACATCACCAAGGATTTTGCTGTTAGTATAAATGTCCAAAAATTTCATGACTGTCTTACCATTGTGTGAACTTGCTCTTAAGTTCTGGAACCTGGATACCAGGCTGATTTCTTCCTTCCCAGTCCACCACGTCAGTCTTTGTTCTTTGGAATTCTTATTTGGGCATGTACCCTGGCTGTATTTTCTGTTTTTATTTCTTCTGGGATATCTACAAGCTAGTATCTTTTCCGCTTTCCCAAAAATAGGCTTTGTGAGTTTCACAATAATGCAGTGCTGTAAATTAACCTTTTTTTTCATCACAGAATATTATTAATGTTAGATTGTTTCCCCAGATTTACCAGTTTATTGCAAATGTTCCTTGCACGATACTTTATTGTAAGCCCTAGCATCTGGCTTTAATGGTAGACATTTTCATCTGGTGTTTGGTTCTTGGCTCATGCTGAGGATTGGAGCGTTTAAATCTATTTGGATGTGAATGTGTGGGGCTTGGGAAGCTGATTGTAAAATAGCTTGTTCATTTTGGGGTGCTCTGTGAATATCATTTTATTGAGAAACCCCATATTGAGATCATTGGGTTTATCAGAGAAATTGGCCACTCTGACCTGATGTGAAGGGCCAGGTTGCGGTTTTCTGACCGAGTGGAGGAAAAAACCTGGGGGATCTGGTCACCATCACTGTTTAGTGCCAAGATAACCCCTCACCTGCTTCAGGATCGTCTTTCAGATGCTGCAGGGTGGCGATGGGGGCGGGGGAGTCATTGTCCTGTGGAACCGAGGATGTGAATGAAGGTTTAATTGATATCAAACCTTTTGAACAAGTTTTTTTTTGGCTGTAGTTACACAGGTACGTATGGTGAGAATTAGCCCTTGCTGGGGTGAGCTGGAAGGCAGGATGGTGTTGGGGTGTTAGAGAGTGTAGGGCAAAGTCCTCCCTGCAAACAGCTGCCAACTTTTTTTTCTAGGCTTGATTTATAAGCTTTGCAGCTTTAAAATTTATTAATGTCTCTGGTGTGCTTGTAATGTTCTATCTTACTGTGTCTGCTCCCTGCTCCATTACTTTAAACTGCTGGTTTTGGGATGGGATCTCAGAAGGATAGCACATGTTACAGTGTGTTTTTGTATGGTAAAATTTTTTTGGAAACTGGAAGGAGCAAGCAAACTAGGTAATTAACAGCTCCCTATGCTAGATGTTGGCCAAAAAGTACAGCGGGGAAGTGGACGGGAAGCCAGGTGGCCAGAACTAGAACTGGCACTTATATGGGATCCTGGTGCCTGCAGGGCAGTGACTTTAGCTGTTAGGCTACTGTGCCGGGCCCATCGTTTGTTTGTAACACACTCTTTCCAAGGAAGTTCTGTTGGAACCTAGTGTTTCCAGCTCCAGCTTAACAGCATCTTCATCTGCAATTTATAATTGGTTTTCATTTGTGCTAACGTCTCTTTTCTGAAATTATGTGTTACAATGTTTTTTTATCTAAAAAAATTAAACTCTTACAACACTTTGTGTTTTTTGCATTCTTTTTTCTTTTGTTTTAGTTTTTCTCCCCTCGGATGAATGCCTTGAAATAACAGGTGTTGCTTTTAGTTGAAAAGGTAAGACAACTTATTGTCATTTGTGAATTGTCATTTGTCATAGGAACATAAGCGATCCGATTCTTTGGAAGTAAACAAAAAGCTGCAGTCATATTGCATTATACTGAGTCAGATGGGAGGAAAAGCAACTTTCAGGTGGTCCAGAATTCATGTGAAGGACATTGAGGGTAGGAGGGTTTCGTTAGGGGATGTTCAGGTTTTGGCCTCTCAGGTTCACTGTCATGTAGTAAGAACACTAGAAATGCTAGTTGGTATTGACCATTTTCCCCCAGGTACATATATAACATTTTTAGAAAATGGTAGATTGAATGTCTAATTCCAGTGTTAACCAGGGTAGAAAGTCTTAAGATTATTGTGTCAATATCCCATTTTCTGGTTTTGGTGTACTGAAAGCTTTGAAAAAGAATGGGGGTCCTTCAGTACTGGCCTGACAAGAGGTCCCCATGGTGCTGGGTCCCGAGTGATGCTGAGTAGATCTGTTCCCCAGGAGTTGCCCTTGCAGTGACCAGCTGGTCATGTGCCTTTTCCAAAGCCACGAGGCCTGACTTACTGGGCTGTTACTTTAGGTTCTGCATGATTTTATAGTGAGATTCTCTGAGAGCCACTCTACTATGTACTTTCAATACAAGTTAAAATTTCAGATTTATCAAAATGGGATATTTGCAATTTTCTTTAAAGATATATTTATTTATTGGAAAGTCAGATATACAGAGAGGAGAGAGGAAGATCTTCTGTCTGATGATTCATCCTCTAAGTGAGCACAACGGCTGATGCTATGCTGATCTGAAACCAGGATCCAGGAACTTCTCCCAGGCATCCCACAAGGGTGCAGGGTCCCAAGGCCTTGGGCTGTCCTCGACTGTTTTCCCAAGCCACAAGCAGGGAGCTGGATGGGAAGTGGAGCTGCTGGGATTAGAACTGGTGCCCACATGGGATTCCGGCGTGTTCAAGGTGAGGCCCTTAGCTGCTAGGCCATGATGCCGGGCCCATATTTGCAATTTTTAAAGTTTTAATTAAACAGTATATTCAGTGAAGTAGACATTTGAATGAATAGCACTGAAGCTCAGTTCTGTCATTTGTTGGGCAAATTTCAGTTTCTTCAAGCCTCAGTTTTCCTGACTGAAACATCTTGTTCAGTTATGACAGTCATGTGAAATTGCTTTAGCATTAGTCATTCTCAGTGGCATTGTGAGGTAAAACATATACTTTGATGGCTTGAGCAGAATCTTCAAGTACTTGTGAGATTGTTAGGTGGTGGAAAGTAGAAGTCCACATTTGTTAACTGTCCAAATGGTGTGGAAGCCTTGCGTATAGTGTGTCGGTGCCTTCACATGCTAGGCAGACAACATAGGAAAGGGATGTGGGCAGACTTGTAGGGCGTACATCATTTAAAGACCAACCACAACGGGGTGCCTTCTCCCAGTTTTCCTGGATACCTTCAGGGGCCTCCCTGCTCTGGCCTTGTAGCTTTGCTGAGCATCCTTGACTGAAGAATCACCACCAGGTTTTTTTGTAAAAGCCCTGTACTTTCGGAAAATGAGTCAACATGAGCTAACAAAGTTCTACCTAGGACAGCTGTGATCCTGGTTACTGAGGTTAGAGATTTAAATAAGCAGGTTTTGTGAGGAAGACTATAGTTGATTATGAGCTCCAAAGGCTGAAGCGTTTGTATGATCCTTTAAGTGAATATAGCCATCCAGCAAAGTTGTAAAATAGCTTGGAACAGGTTTGAACTGGAGAGAAATGAGAACAGGTCCACCTGCACTGCAGATTATTTGCAGTGTTACAGGTTTACACATCGCAGTCTAGTCCACCTTGCCTGTCCTTGCAGCAGTCGTGTCGGCATAGTCCAGTGGACTCCAAGTGACAGCTTGTGCTTCACGTTTCTTTTGCGTGACATAGACGCCCATGTCAGGATTGTTGAATTAACTGGGAATCCTTTTGCAGAATGGAGCACTCAGGTTGTTACTGTCGACTGCCTTTAATTATTGGAGGAAATTTCTGATTTCCAGTTCTCATCCGATTTACCACCCATGAGCTCTTCCTCTGCGGTGTGTTGACCACCTGCATCATATTGTCTCCCTTGCAATATGCCATTTAAATAGTTGCTGTTGTATTAATGTCTTTGTGATTTTCCTTGGACTTGTCTCTTCAACTGGAACATACATTTTGCTTAGAATTGTCTAACATTTTTATGTCTACAAATGTCACTCTGTTTTTCAAAGTTATTTATATGTAGTGACAGAATAAGTGCTCATGTTTGGAAATTCGAGTACAAAGCAGTGGGAGCGCGACAGTATTTGAGCTATAAATGAATGAACAATTGACAGTTGTCTTGGTATTTGTTCCTTTCAGTTGTATTATGACAACTCTAGCATAAATACTAAGTGGATACTCTATTAGACTCCTTCCTTTGGGCAGCTTTCCAAGAGCAGATTATGACTGCCCGGGAAAGCATGTGTTGTGTGCACCTGCTCTGAGTGGGGAGGCAGCCTGTGCTTGAAGCTTGCAGCTGAGTGGAGTTGGGAGAGGCATGGTATCCATTGGCACTTTCAGGGCTCAGCAGCCTCGTGTAAAGTGAGGGGATAAAATAGGTGAACTTGATGATCATGCTTCTATAGTATAATAATGTAAGTGCTCACTGGTATTCAGGATCCAGATATATGTGTTATATGCAATTGTAAATGAGAAATGCTAAGAGCCAACTTTGATAGGGCTTTGACAGTAATGTAAGCAAAATTTATGGACACATCTCTTCTCACACAGTATAACCCTTTGCTCCTCCAGCAGACTGCTAAATTGCTAGTAGGCAAGATGACAGATAAGTTTTGCCTGATCCACAAATAGGGGGTCCAATGGTACTGTTGGAATTAACCATAAGGGTTTTATGGCTATGTGCCACAGTTCTTCAAGCAGCAAACTTCAGCTTTCCAGCTGTGTCAGCTTGAAGAAGTCACTGTACTACTTTCTCGTCTACAAAATAGAGTTGTACTTGCCAGACAGCTGCTCTGTGCTCTCCGTTACGCTACTGCAATAGTTCTCACCCTAATGTCACTGTGAAGTTGAATGACACTTCTTCCGGTCAGGACATTTGGCATATGAACATTTAACTACCTCATTTTTCCTTCGGTATGAACTGCAGAAACTCCATAAGCATTAGAAACCCTTTAGGAATGGAAAGGTGATGCTGTGTTAGCAGAATTGATGGATCTGGAGGCTATTTAAAATGTTGGTATTTCATCATCACAGTCAAAATGAGTTATTGAGGGGCTGGCATTGCAGTGTAGTAAGTTTAGCCTCTGCCTGTGGTGCCATCATCCCATATACGGGCTGATTTGAGTCCCACAGGCTCTGCTTCCAGTCCAGTTCCCTGCTAATACTTTGTGAAAGCAGCAGAATGTAGCCCTGGGAAGAGACACATCTCCCATTGCGGGTTTACTCCTATATTGCTGTAGCAGCTGGAGCTGGGCGGAGGCTAGGAACCAAACTGCTTTTGAGTCTCATGTTGGTGTAGGGGCCCAAGAACTTGGGCCATCCTTTACTGCTTTCCCAGGCCATAATAAGCAGGTTGGAGCAGCTTGGACATGAACCAGTGCCCATATAAGATGTTGGCACTGGCAGATGGGGGATTAGCCTATTGAGTCACCACACTGGCCCCAAAAATCTTTTCAATAGTTACTCAGTACTCAGCAGCCAGGAACACCTGTCCCCATGCATCACTAAGTGACTTTTAAAATCAAGTTCCTACTTAGGGAGTAGAATTCATGATACCTTGTTACTATCTGCAAAGTAAAATTGGAAGCTGGAACTCCTAAGAAGTCAGTGATTTTTGGTCACGGGCTAAAAGTGTTTTTCAAAAATGACTGTTGGTTTTGATTTATTTGAGAGACACGAGGGGAGAACTCTAATCTGGTTTTCCAACCCAAGTGACAGTAACAGCTAACTAAGGCTGTGCTCCACCAAAGCTAGGAGCTGGGGACTCAGTCCGGGACAGAGGCTCCATTGCCTGAGGTCTCACCTGCTGCCTCTCAGGACACATGGAGCGGCACGCTGGGACCTGGACTGGAGCTGGGACTTGACCCCAGGCAATGTGCCATAGGATGTGGGTGTGTCAAGTGATGTCTTAATAACTCCTTAGGCACCTGTCTCACCCTGGACTTAAGTAAGAGAAGCGAGATACTCATGTTTCTAGTGTCCCATAAGGAAATGCTTTGTATATAACATGGTGGTTTGAAATTTCATTTCAAAGAAGCAACACTTGGATGAGGTGAAATGTGTCTGGACTGTACATGTGTTTTTTAAAAAAATCAACTTTTTTTTAAAAGATTTATTTATTTTTATTAGGCAGATATACAGAGAGGAGGAGAGACAGGAAGATCTTCCATCCGATGATTCACTCCCCAAGTGAGCGCAACAGCTGGTGCTGTGCCGATCTGAACCCGGGAAACAGGAACCTCTTCCGGGTCTCCCACATGGGTGCAGGGTCCCAAGGCTTTGGGCCGTCCTCGACTGCTTTCCCAGGCCACAAGCAGGGAGCTGGATGGGAAGTAGAGTTACTGGGATTAGAACAGGCGCCCATATGGGATCCCGGGCGTTCAAGGTGAGGACTTTTAGCCACTATGCTATCATGCCAGGCCCAAAAATCACATTTCTAAGGGTGTACTTTTTAAGATTTTTAATTCTCATTTGAACAAGAGACAGATGTTCTATCTGGCGGTTTATTCTCAGCCTGCACAGCTGACTGAGCCAACACAAGGCTGCATCTGCGTCAGAGCAGCTGCCACTCCAGAGAGTGCAGAGAGCGGCCATCTCACACAGTGAAGTAACTGCTGCCCCATCCAAGGGTGTTGTCATGCCCATAGCATTTGTGGGGGAACATTACTGAATCCATGCCATGAATGCAACAATCGCCTCCTCTTCACGGCTAACACTTAAACAGCAGTTCTGTTTAGTAAGCGCTGTTGTCCCTCATTTAGCAGAGGAGGAGACGGGCCTAGGTTGGGTACTTGTCCAGAAATCACAGTTGCTTATGTGGTAGAGCTGAGTTAGACGTTGGCATTGTTAGCCCAGGGTTTGTGCTTGTTTATCTTAAAAACAGGAAGAGAGTGGGGAGAATTGTGGAAAAGACGATGATGTGCTGGGAATGGAAGAGGTGCAGGGTCGAGGGTCAGGGGACACAAAAACATTATTGCCAGCCTCTTTAATTCTACCATAGAGAATGATCTCGGAATTGTCAGTTGGTGGAACTCTGTTACTACATAAAACTGTTTTTGACATCTGTTGGAGATGGGAGAAAGTGTCAAGTTGGTATTACATTTGTACTTAAAAGAATAATAAGGATTGAAAGGAGAATTGTCGCAGTGATAATTAAAACTGTTTTGAAGTGTTTCCATATCCTAGGAATCTTCCTTGGTTCTTGGAATTCTTCAACCTGAAATAAAAATCAGCACAAAGTTTTAAAGTTTTGTTTCTGGACTAATGGCCACATTGTAAAACTTACCAGAGCTGTCTGAAAGAACAGATTTACAGTGGTTTTGTTCTGTCCCACAAAGACTTAACAGGGCTGAACAGCTTTTCTGAAATGTTGCGCTGGAGTTCCACAGACACATTCACACACACACACACACACACACACACACACACACACTCTCTCTCTCTGTCTCTCTCTCTCTCTCTCTCTCTGCCCCTCGCTGCGTCATTCCCCAGGTGTCTGCAACATCCAGGCCCAGAGGCAGGAACACAGTCCCAGGTACTATGGTGCTATCTGCACTCTGATGTCATAAGTCTCAAAAAGTACAACTGTGAGCCTAGGTAATAATTTATTCCATTAATTCTTATTTACAGATTATATGACTGATGTGACTTTATCCTGCTATAAAACTAATGTAGAGGATCTTTGTTCAAACTAATAGTATTTAATGAGCATTAAGTCTTTATTAGGTGCTTAATCGGTACTCGTGGCTGTTTGTCATCATATATATTTTTTAAGTTTTTATTTTATTTTTATTGGAAAGGCAGATATACAGAGAGGAGAGACAGAGAGGAATATCTTCCCTCCGATGATTCACTCCCCAGGTGGCTGCAACGGCTGGAGCTGAGCCGATCCGAAGCCAGGAGCCTCTTCCAGGTCTCCCACGCAGGTGCAGGGTCCCAAAGCTTTGGGCCGTCCTCGACTGCTTTCCCAGGCCACAGGCAGGGAGCTGGAAGGGAAGCAGGGCTTCCAGGATAGAATCGGCGCCCATATGGGATCCTGGGCGTGCAAGGCGAGGACCTTAACCACTTGCGCCATCGCGCTGGGCCCTGTTATCATATTCTTAGTGCCAAATACAATGCCTGTAATTTAAGGAAGATTTACCCATTCTATGAAATACTGTTCAGCAATGGAAATGAGTGAAGTGTGGACACATGACATGCATAAGTATAAAAAGCATGTGAAAAAAGTGAAGAAATCAAACACAATAAACTGTACTGTATAATTCTACTTACGGAATTCTGGAAAGGACAAAACTACAGCAGCAGCTCAGGCTGTGGGGAGGAACCAGCTTTAAAGAGCAAGAGGAAAATGCTAGGATTGTATATAAATACCGAAGTCCACATCAAATGTCACACTTAACATGGGTGACTGTTCTGTGTAAGTAATACCTTGTTAGAAACAGATTTAGGAAGCAGAATCAATGGAACTTGGTATGTGTGTATTTTGCTTTTAAATAGTAGTTGTATTTCTAGAAAAGATGAATAAAATATGCTCTAAAGCAACAATCCAATAGTTTCCCACTATTTTCTAATGGAGCATTTTAAAATGTAGTAAAGTTGATAAAATGATAAGAATCCCTATGGATATTAATATCTGGTTTCAACTATTTTCAGTTTCTAAGCAATTTTTGTTTCATTTCTATCCCATTGTATTTCTCCTCGATTCTCATCACATAATTTCAGTGAAAAAGTTTGTGTTGTGTTAAATTTTTTTTTAAAGATTTATTTTTTATTGGAAAGGTAGGTGTACTGAGAGGAGGAGAGACAGAGAAGATTCTCTACCCGATGATTCACTCCCCAAGTGGCCACAACAGCTGGTGCTGCGCTGATCTGAAGCCAGGAGCCAGGAGCCAGGAACTTCCCCAGGTTTCCCACATGGGTGCAGGGTCCCAAGGCTTTGGGCTGTCCTTGACTGCCTTCCCAGGCCACAAGCAGGGAGCTGGATGGGAAGTGGAGCCGCCGGGACCAGAATCAATGCACATATGGGATTCCGGCACGTGCAATGCGAGGACCTTAACCATTATGCTATTGCGTCAGGCCCCAGTCAAAAATTATAAATGAAATCTCCAATAAATGACATAAAAGTTAAAAAAAAGCCTCTCAAAAACATTGCAATACTATTTCCCTAATTATTCATAAATGCAGTGTAATATCCTGAGTTTGAGATCTAGCTTACAAAGTTACAAATGTTCTTTTAAGGTGTGTCTAAATCAAAAAAACAAATAAGGGCTGTATGATGCGAGTGTTTCTATTTTTCCTCCTCTCCTTTTTCCTTTGTAATGTATTTGTTGACTAATTATGTTTCTGAATGCAAGGAATCCTTCTATTAGGCAAATAGCTGCCCTCGAATTCGTGGGTTTCTTTATTTGGGTTGTTTTATAATTCTTTTCATATTTTAGTTGCACTTGAAGAATCTCGGGATAAAGCCATAGACTGGTTCCACGGGACCAACAGCATGCTTAGCATGGGTTTGGTTTGGGCAGTTACTACTGACATAGGGCACAGTTTGTACATCGACAAAGACAGGAATCACTTACAGGTGTTTGCTGGTCATCTGTGCAATCAAGGGAGATACTCAATTTTTCTTCTTTTTCCAAAATTGTTTCAACATTTTGTGTCAAAACATTTTTTACATCAGTCACTTGAATCATCATTGTGGAACTCATTCTGTTACTTTGATTTTTATTGTACTTCATCTATATAGAAGTGAATATAGAATAATAATAAAAAAAGCAGCACATCTCACTTGGATTTCAATATAAGAATCAACTGAAGCTCAGATTGTCCCATTTTAACCTCGCAACAAACAATAAGTACATCAATGTAATCAGCAACAGAAATGATTTTTTTCCTGATTTAAATTGTTTACTCTAAAAAAAAAAAGCAGCTAACTTTTGGAGTAGTATTAGGCTCAAAACAAAACTAAACAGAGTTTGCCCACTCTTGTGCCACCGAACTGTATAACCCCGCTGTCAGCATCTGGCATCGAAGCGTACACTTAATGACCAGCTATAACTACATCTTGGCACATTTCCACCCAGGGTCCCCAGTCTACATTAGGTTCTTTCTTGGTATGGTTTGGACAAAAGTACAATGACATGCTTCCATCATCACAGCATTTTACAGAATAGCTTCACTGCCCTGGAAATCCTGTGTTTCCAGCAGCTCAGCCTTAGCAACCACTCATCTTTTTTTATAAGCTCCTGCGTGGCACACAGTTGTGACCAAATAGTACAGCCCTTTCAGTTGGTTTTCTTCAAGTTAGTAACACACACTTGAGTTTTTCCCCAGGCCTTTTTAGGCCCAACTGGCTCGTTTGTTTTCAGTGCACAGTGTCATTCCTTTGCTTGCTAACACCACAGTTTTTCCATTTATCTCCTAAAGGTTACCTTGGTTGCGTCCAAGTTTAGAGGTTTTAGACAAGCAGCTGTGGCATCTGTGCACAGGTTTTTGCATGGACACATTCAGTCCATTGAGGCAAATCAAGGAGTATACATGCTGGATCGTGATTTTAGGTGAGCCCATACTGCTGGGCCTTGAACTTCATAAGTGCCTCTCAGCTTCTGGATACTTGGAGGCAACGGGAGGTGGGTATGTCCCTACACCCATGTGGAAGGGTGGAGGGGGCTGGGGCTGGCTACAGCTGGCCCTCCCTGTCCAGGCAGTCAACCAAAGACACACTCCAAGTTATTTGGAGGAAAGAACTACGTGTATATTGAACATGTACCCAAGTTCATTCTTGTCATTGCACCCTGATCAATTTAGTATAAAAACTATTTACATTGTGTAAATAGTGCAGGAAACCTAGAGGTAACTGAAAGGGTATGGCAGGATGTGCATAGGTTATATGCAAATGCAATGCCATTGTATCACAAGGCAACAACATTTGTGGACTTTTGTATCTGCAGGGAGTTCTGGAACTAGTATACCATGGGATGACTGATTTTCCTTCCCTCCGGTTGCTCAGGCTCCAAAACAACCCCAATAGGCGAGGTCCTGGTAGAACAGTTTCTCATCAAGAACAAAAATGCTCAAGTGCAATTCAAAATGGTTGCTCCCCATCCTATCCCTGCCCACTAGGGTCAAAAAAGGATTTTTCTCTGATCTTCACTGGGAAGACTTGGCAGAGATCTTGGAGGTAAAACTCACAGCCCTGCTACCTCATGACTGGCTCCTCCTAAAATTTTTAACGGAGGCTTGTCTATAGTGAGCTGTCAGCCTTTGCCAGCTCTGGTTTAGGCTTTCCCAGGCTGGTGGAGGTTCATACGGAGAAGACTGTTCCAAAGTGGTGCCTCTGAGTAGCAGTTGTTGGCTCTGTATCGTCAACTTACGTCTAAGACTTAGTGTTTTCTCAGTTTGTTCAGCTTTTACTTGAGGTTAGGATGGAGTGATAACTTCAAGTTACTCACATATTAGACTGGATGCATATTTAAAAAAATGCTTTCCTGGGACCTGGGATGATGTTTGGCTCAATTGGCTAGTCCTCCCCTTGCATGTGCTGGCATCCCAAATGGGCACTGGTTCATGTTACAGCTGCTCCATTTCCCATCCAGATCCCTGCTTGTGGCCTGGGAAAGCAGTAGAGGATGGCCCAAGGACTTGGGACCCTGAATCTACACGGAGACTTGGAGGAGGCTCCTGGCTCCTGGCTTCATATCGGCCCAGGTCTGGGTGTTGCAACAATTTGGGGAGTGAACAAACAGAAGACCTCTCTGTCTCACCTCTTTGTGAATCTGCCTTTCCAATAAAAATAAATAACTCTTTTTTTTTAAAGACAAATGAAACCTGGGGGAAATATTTGCAGAATAAATTGATACCCACACATTCTGCAAAATCTTATAAGATATGCAATACTTTTTCTAATAATCTGCTGAAGAAAAGCTCAGAAAAGGCAAGGCTCTAGAAGGCAAATCTTAAAAGTAGCATGAATGATGCTATAAATGAGGAGAGATGGCCAACCTGCTTCACAGTCAGAGAAATGGAAAGAATTACCAGTGTTGACTAAAATGAAAATACACTCATATTGTGTAAGCCATACATCTCCCTTCCAAGAGTTGATCCTACAGTTTCCTAAGTGACCAAAGATATCTCTGTGTGTATGACTATATATGTATGTGTATTTTCAGTGGGTAAAGAAAAACAAATGCCCAGTAGGTTGCAGTTGCTGTGTTATGAGAGATGCTGGAAGCAGAGAAGAGGGAGGCCCCTGCAGAACATGGAGCAGCACAAGCTTCGGTATTATATAAAGGCAAGTCATGATTCCAGAAACCAAGGACACTCACTCAAGGATACTAAAACCCTGCTCTTTGGTTCTTTGGGAAGTGGCCTCATTTGCCTTACAGAGGGCTCGTGGGTCGTGCAGTCTAAGATGGGTCTTGGGTGAGGAGCTCACCAGCAGGTGTGGAAAAGGCAGTGCTGACCATGTCCACTTCACGCTGTGTTGGGGACCTGACTGCATCCTGTGCATGTAATTTTATCTGGAAAAAAATTCTTTGGAGATATAATCAGGATGAACAGTTAGCATTTAATGTTTCTTTCTCTTCCTCTTCTTTTCCTTTTAAAAATGCCTTGCTTGGGCCCAGCACGGTGGCCGGCCTTGTAGATAAAGTCCTCGCCTTGAATGCACCGGGATCCTAAATGCGCGCTGGTTCTAATCCCAGCAGCTCCGCTTCCCATCCAGCTCCCTGCTTGTGGCCTGGGAAAGCAGTCAAGGACGGCTCAAAGCCTTGGCATTTAGTGTGCCTGATTTATTTAAAGGGCAAGCAGACAGACAGATCTTCCATGTGTTGGTTCACACTCCAAATGTGTAACACAGCACGGGTTATGCCAAAGCCGGTATTGTGTAACTCCTCCCATATTGCTCATGTGGGTGTCTGGAGTGTTGGGGCCAAACTTGCTTGGATTCAGCCTCAGCAGGAAGCTAGAATCCAAGGTGAGCTAGGACCTGAGCCTAGGCACTCCATTATAAGAGGCAGGGATCCCAACCATATCTAAGTGGCTGCACCCCATGCCACTCACAATCTTTGAATCTAAGGGAATTATCAAAATTTGCGTAGCATGATGTATTTTTAGCTCACTCAATGACATTTGAGTCACTGGCATACATATGTAAAAACTTTCAACAATTTTTTGGCTATGTGTATTTTGTTAGTTTCAATACAGGATTTTAATAACTTTCCTAAAGTTTCTGTAGCTTGAAAGATTGCCAAGTTAGTTTATAAAGTCAAATGGAAATGTCTTTACCATGTATAAGTTATTCACTTAAAATATGCATGTTCTTTTTAAAATAAAGATTTGTTTTATGTGAAAGAGTTATATACAGAAATCTTCCATGCACTGGTTCACTCCCCACATGGCCACAACAGCCAGAGCCGAGCCAGTCCAAAGCCAGGAGCTTCTTCTGGGTCTCTCACATGGTTACAGGGTGCCAAGGCCTTTGGCTCTCCTTGCTTCCACCTGCCCACCCCTCCCCAGGTCATTAAAATGGAGCAGAATGGGGAGTAGAACAGTTGGGACACAAACTAGTGTCTTATGAGATCCCAGGACTAGCTAGGTGAGGATTTAGCTACTGAACCATCACATTGGGCCCTGTAAGTCTCTTTTTAATGTATGGATTCACCTGAGTTTTATTCCTCTTTGTAATTTGTTTATGGAAGAAATTGGGTCATTTGTCTTGTAGGTTTTCTCACATTCGATAGTGTGTTGTTCCTATCACTGTGATGTCCTCTAACATGGCTGCCTGCTTCTCTTCCTCACGGACAAGCTGGAATGCGTGCATGAGGAATAGAAGCCCCACTGTCCAGGGCCCTGCGGTCTGCCTGAGGTGCAGCTCGTGCAGTACAGCCAGGAGTCAAGTGCTCCGGCTGTTCCTTTTGCTCAGCAGAGTCCCAATGGGGACCCGCAGGGGGATGCAGAGTTGACTGGCATGGGATCTTTTCCCCTGTGCCAGAATGCACTCAGGGGTTTGAACGTGAGAGAGGTAGGTACAAAGTTCATGGACAATGAGTATAATGGAAGAACTACATGTGGATTTCAATTTTTTTTTTTCACAGATCAATTTCTCACTTGATTCCATTTTCCAAGAACATTTTTAAGAAAAGATTTGCTTATTTTTACTTGAAAGGGAGATTTACAGAGGGAAGGAGAGACAATGATCTTTGTCAACTGTCTGATTTCCCAAGTGACCACAGTGACTAGAGCTGAGCCATTCTGAAGCCAGGAGCTAGGAGCTTCCTCCAGTCTCCCACATGGCTACAGTGTCCCAGGGCTTTGGGCCGTCCTCCACTGCTTTCCCAGGCCACAGCAGGGAGCTGGATGGGAAATGGGGCAGCTAGGAAATGGACCAGCATCCTTATTGGATCCTGACACTTGCAAGGCGAGGATGTAGCCACTGAGCCAGCGCACTGGACCCTCTGTTGAACATTTAAAGTGTGCTTGTAGTTGATGGGCTAGTCACTGCAGGGGTATTCTTTGAGATGCTCAAATTATTCCATTGACCTGGTAGTGATCTCTTGAAGTTATCTTCCAAAACAAGACACTAGTGCAGTGTAGACGGCTCGCACAGCTCCCTTGTCGCACGGTGACCAAATGGTTCTGGTTGATGTTTCCTGCCCCATGTCTGGAATCAAGCCTGTCTCCTTCACAGGGGAGTGGGGCTCGGAGCCGGAAAGCCAGCCATGAAGGCACTGCCACTGCTCATTGCTTTTACGCTTTTCAGCAGAGGTCTTATTTATTGATTTATTTTGCAATTTTTCAAGACTTTCTTTTTTTGAATTTTTTAAGAAGAAAATATGCCATGTGATGTATTTTTTTCAAGCGATATCTTTTCAATTATATATTGTTTAGTATTTGTTTTTACTGAAAGCTTGGGACTTGAAGATTTTACTTGGCTACTCTGACTTTATGTTTGTAACTCTTACTGCTGAAAATCTTGAGCCTTAACAGTAGTTATGCAGAGTTAAATACATCTATGTTTATATAAACTGATTTAAAAATAGCAATATAGCAATACTAACATACTGTGACTTTAAAAAGTTAATTAAAAATTCACTTTTAGTTTTCTTTTTCTAAGAGTGTAATCCCATTATGAATGTGTGTTGGAACGACTTTGAAACAATTTTTCACTGTATTTCAATTTTTTTAAAGATTTACTTATTTTTATTGCAAAGTCAAATATACAGAGAGGAGGAGAGACAGAGAGAAAGATCTTCTGTCTGCTGATTCACTCCCCAAATGGCCTCAATGGCTGAAGCTGAGCTGATCTGAAGCCAGGAGCTAGGAGCTTCTTCTGGGTCTCCCACATGAGCTTGGGGTTCTAAGGCTTTGGGCTGTCCTCGACTGCTTTCCCAGGCCACAAGCAGGGAGCTGGATAGGAAGTGGAGCTGCTGGGATTAGAATTGGCGCCCATATGGGATCCCAGCATGTTCAAGGCAAGGAGTTTAGCTGTTAGGCCACGGCATCGGGCCCTGTATTTCAAATGTTTAACTCACTACAAGATTCTTGGTAATTTGACTTCCATTTTGCTTTTGAATATTAGAGATCAGTCTAAATAAAAAAAAAACCATATATATATATATATATATTCACACTTGAAAATACATACTGTGACATTTACCCTTTTAACAATTTTCAGGGCACAGTTCAATGGCATTAGGAATGCTTACACTGTTATACAATGATAATCTCCTACCCATGTCAAGAATATTTTTCATCTTCTCAAACGGAAACTCTGTATCCTTTAAACGGTAACTATCCCATTCCCCTAGCCCTTGCCCACTGACCTCTCCCCCACTTCTACTTCCTGTCACTGAAGCTGACCACACCATAACCCTCACGTAAGAGGGGCCATACACTATTTGTCCTGCTGTGACTGATTGATTTCACTTAGTGGGGAAAATTTCTATAGTATTGTGCAAGACTTTTCGTGCAGACCCAAAGTCAGATTTTCCAAAAAAGTGTCCTGCATGGCGGCCTAACTTCTGTTCCTTTTACCTCAACCCTTGCTTCTCTCCCTCATCCCACGGAGGTACCACCATTTGCGTGTTTTTAATTTATCCCTCCCTTTTAAAATCTAAAGGTAAATAGATACATTCGTTCTTAGTTTGTCTTTCTTAAACGGCAAATAATACTATATTATATATTGTTAACATACTTTATCAACTTGTCAATATTTTGTGAAAAACATTCCTTTTGATTATTATCTAGTGATAGTTCTTATCTGTATTCACAGCTATTCTCTGATCAATCCCGTCCGGCTTGTCAACTGTAATACCCATAATATTTCAGATAACAACTTGAGGTACATACCATATATGTTCCTAAAACTTGTTGAAAATCTGCCGAAACTGCATTGCAAGGATAAAACTGTTCTTGTGACATCAAAGGATTTCTTGTTAAGGTGTCACTAACCTGGGGAAAACCAATGGAAATATTTAACCTATATGAATTATTTTGACTGGAGAATGACAGGGCAAAGATTTATTTGAACTGAAGTCTGGCAGGAACCTGAACATTAAAAAAAAAAAAAAAAGCAACATGTCAATATTGGCTTTTCATTGCAGGTCATGCTTGCTATTTTCAGATGAAATGTTGATGAAGAGTATATTTGCTCTGGCCTTATCCACTGCTGCTGGGACGGTTAGAGCCCCATATGATGGCCCGGGCGACCTTGGTTTTCCTTGCTGCATCTGAGGATGTGTGGGGAAATGGGGGTGTTAGTGTCTGGAAGGTCAGGAGTGAGAAGAATCCATGATCTATTCTAAATAGCATTTGCATTTTCCTCCAACTGCTCTGTTTACAATCCAATACCAAATGTCGGGGAACCAAACTCTAAGGCTATCGATCACCCCCAGGCTGCAGGGCATTTCAATACCCCAAGAAAGAATTCTGGAACTGCCGTGTGTTCACTGAATTGGCTGACCCTCTGCCTTCAAGCGCCAGGATCTCCTGGGTGCTGATTCATATCCCGGTGCTCCACTTTCCATCCAGCTCCCTGCTTATAGCCTGGCAGTGGAGGTTGGCCTTGGGAACCTGCACCCACCCAGGAGATCAGGAAGAAACTCCAGGCTCTTGGCTTCAGACCAGCTTAGTGTGGCCACTGTGGTCATTTGAGGAGTGAACCACTGGATGGAAGATCTTCCTCTCTGTCTCTCCTCCTCACTGTACATCTGACTTTGCAATAAAAAATAAAATAAATCTTAAAAAAAATAGAGTTCAAAATTTCAGTAACTAGAAAGATTTCTTACATCAGTCCAAACAGCTACTTATTGGGGTCAGTCGGTGGCTTATCCATTCATCCAGCCCATATTAGCTGGCATCCCATAGGGGCACCGGTTTGTGTTCTGGCTACTTCCCATCCAGCTCCCTGCTTGTGGCCTGGGAAAGCACCAGCTCCCTGCTTGTGGCCTGGGAAAGCAGTTGAGGACAGCCCAAAGTCTTGGGACCCTGCACCCACATGGGAGACCCAGAAAAAGCTCCTGGCTCCTGGCTTCAGACTAGCTCAGCTCTGGCTGTGATGGATATTTGGGGATGAACCAGCAGATGAAAGATCTCTTTCTGTCTGTTCTTCTTTGTATAAATATGCCTTTTCTTTTTAAAGATTTATTTTATTTCCATTGGAAAGTCAGATATACAGAGAGGCAGAGAGACAGAGCGGAAGATCTTCCATCCGATGATTCATTCCTCAAGTGGCCGCAACGGCTGGTACTATGCCAATCTGAAGCCAGGAGCCAGGAACTTATTCCAGGTTTCCCACACGGATGCAGGGTCCCAAGGCTTTGGGCCATCCTTGACTGCTTTCCCAGGCCACAAGGAGGAAGCTGGATGGGAAGTGGAGCTGCCGGGATTAGAACCGGCACCCATATGGCATCCTGGCGCAATCAAGGTGAGGACTTTAGCCGCTAGACCATTGCGCTGGGCCCTAAATCTGCCTTCTGAACCAACCAACCAACCAACCAACCAACCAACCAACCAACCAACCAACCAACAATCCAAACATCCAACCAACCACCAACCAACCCAAAAAATAAAAACTGTAAAAAAAAAACCCCAAAACTTACATTTGTAAGAAATGCAGATGGTGCCACAGTATCCAATGCATTATCTGTAGCACATAAGTAAGTGATTCCATCAGTAAAGAGAGTATGGTAGACATAGCTTTGGAAAGAATACATTTATTTACATGATATCATCGAAAAAATAAACAACACAGAGAATTTCAATTTTCAAGCTTTCTTTAGTGACATTAAAATTTATACAGATAACTTTGTAAACAGAATAAGCAGAACTTTAATATATCTGAAAAATTAAAGTTAAGTCAAAAGTCTAAAGTTTGAATGTGTATTTAAAATTACATCAATAAAAATAGAAAATGTGTACATATCTATATATATTTTTAAGTGACTTTGGTAGAAGTCAGCTACATTTGAAATCTGACCCAGTAGAAAATGCTGGGGTTGCTGATTTTTTTCCTTTTTTTTTTAATTAAAAAAAATTTTCTTTTCCTTCCAGTTTTGTATAGATGCAGGAGTGGGTGTTCAAGGAGTTCATAGAAAATGCCTATTATAAAAAAAAACTGCCTGAATTAAAAAAAATTTTTGCACCAAAATAAAATTTTAATCCACTTTTCCGTGAACTTTCAAAATTACTGTCATATTTAATTTAGCACTTCTTGCTTTCTGCCGGACCTGGTGCGATGGCCCAGTGGGTAAATCCTCTCTTTGCATCTGTTGGGATCCCATATGGGTGCTGGTTCATGTCCTGGCTGCTTCATTTCTAATCCAGCTCCCTGCTTGTGACCTAGGAAAGAAGTGGAGGATGGTCCAAAGGCTTGGGACCCTCTTGGGTGACCCGGAAGAAGTTCCTGGTTCCTGGCTTCGGTCTGGCTCAGCTCCGCTGCTGTGGCCCCTTGGGGAGTGAATCTTTCAGTGGAGAGATCTTTCTTTCTGTGTCTCCCTCTCTCTGTAAATATGATCTGCATTTCCAATAAAAGTAAATAAATTTTTAAAAAGTTGTAAAGTGCTAATAACCTGGTGCCCAGAATAAGCTGGGGAGAGGAGAACCCAGCCCAGTGCGCCTTATCCTGAGCATTGTAACTTAGACCTTCTCTGTTCTCTTCAACTCATGGATGAGGAAGCTAAGAGACTGTTGGAAAGTGTCTCCATCATTTATATCCAACAATGCAGAACCTATAGGAACAGGGATGGTCACTGGGCTTTGTCCTTCCTCTGTATTCTATCTCCAAATGGGGTTAACAGGCAAAGACTTGGCCACACACTCAACTGAGGATTTCAGAAAACAAATAAACATAATTCCAGATGTGAAACATTTAATATTAATCTTTCATATCATATGAATGTGATGTGCCACAATATGCTTAACGATATGATTAATACACATGATCACTTGGCAATTATTTCTATTTCTAAATTTGGGAGAATCTTGGCTGAAAAAGAGCTTGCTAATTCTACCATCTATTTGTGAGTTACATGTGTGATTTGATGTGACTTGAATCTGGATACGAAAAGGAGAATTTTGACTATATGCTTACTACAGCAACATTCAGAAGCCATCTTTGACATTGCAAATAATGTGAGTGTCCAATGTCCAAGTATGTAGTTAGCAGACAACAGCAAGGCAGAGAACACCATCATTTAGTTGCTATTCTCATATGCTACCATAAGGTCTGAAAGTACACATTTACTCTATTATGCATTCTTCCAGAATGTGTTTCTCTTTCAAAAATAAGAGTTTGAAGCTCACTTTAAATTTGCTTATTAAAATTAATTTTAAAGGTTGGGGGAGAGAGAGAGAGAGAAAGAGATATTTTACCATGTGGTGGTTTATTTCCCAAACAGCCAAAGTGTCTACAGCTGGGCCAGGTCAAAACTCGGCATGTGAAACTAAAATCTGGGTCTCCCATGTGCGTGCTAAGCAGCCAAGCACTTGCACTGTCACCTGTTGCCTATACGCAGAGCATTAACAAAAGGTGGAATTGCAAGGGGAGCTGGGACTTGAACTCATGCACTTTGACGTGAGATGGGTATGCCACTGTGCCAGATGACCACTTCTAGAATGTGTTTCTTAAGAAAAGAAAAATGGGGGGATGGTAAATCAAAATATTTTTTTTTTTCAAGATTGGTATCTTCTAGGGGAGGAAATAGCTCAGCATGGCAAGCCAAGGAACCCAAGTTCAACTCCTCAAGGTTTCTGTTTCGTGGATCTGGGAAGGTGCTGTGAGGGGAGACCATGGGAGGTGAGTGACTCTGGACATAAGTTTGAAATGGTTGTTAGACATCCAGGCAGAGATGTGGTGGGACAGGTGTGGTGTTTGCATTTCTGGCAAGAGGTTTTCAAAAGACTCTAATAATTGGGCCCGGCGCAGTGGCGCAAGTGGTTGGGGTCCTTGCCTTGCACGCCCAGGATCCCATATGGGCACCGGTTCTAATCCCGGCAGCCCTGCTTCCCTTCCAGCTCCCTGCCTGTGGCCTGGGAAAGCAGTCGAGGACAGCCCAAAGCTTTGGGGCCCTGCACCTGCGTGGGAGACCCGGAAGAGGCTCCTGGCTTCGGATCGGCATAGTATCGGCCGTTGCGCTTACTTGGGGAGTGAATCATCGGATGGAAGATTTTCCTCTCTGTCTCTGCTCTCTGTATATCCGCCTTTCCAATAAAAAAAAAATAATAAAAATAAATCTTTAAAAAAAAGAGACTAACAATTAACGGGAGCAAATGAGTAAAATGTCTCTCTTTGAAGCAATTTCAGTGAACACAAAATTAGATTGTCATCACTGACATGAGCATGAATGATTGCTAACATTCTCAAAAGGAGATGTAATATTATATGCCTGCAATAGAAAATGTCTATAGCTTGCTGAAGGAGTTGGGCCTCCTGACCTGGCCACCTGAAATACTGCAGACTGCATTTTGAGTAGGCATCCAACAAACCTAGATGCTAGGAAACTTACAGATTCTTCTTCAGATAAATTGTAAGGGAAGGTATGGTGAGGACAATGCATAGAGACCTAGCATAACTGGGTGATCATTTGAGGATGTATACTTGTTTGTTAAGGCAATGAAGAAACAGGGAAGTGACCACTGTCGAGGCTGGGATGGTGGCTGGTGGATGGTGGGGGAGGAGGAAGGAAGTAGTGAGTGGGCCAGAACACACGGTAGGGAAGTTTCGGGGTGGCTCTCAGGTGGTAGTACTTGTTCTAGGTGGTAGCTGCTGCTGGAGGAAGTTGCTTGTAATACTTGACAAAGCGATACTCTCATTTGATGTGGTTTCTTGATAACCATGTTTTACTTTTATATTAAAACAAATTCATTCCTGAAAACATGTAGAATCTAAAAATAGAAGCTCTTCATTTCTTTCATCTGTTCCTTTATCAGCCAATGTTTTGCAGACTGGTTTAGGCCAAACTGTGTCATGTTCCAACTAAAGCCAAACCAGGTTAAGCACAAACTCCTTAGCAGTGGGCACTATTCTCAGTCATTTTTTAAAAAAAGATTTATTCAGTATTTTTATTGAAAAGCAGATCGACAGAGAGGAGAAACAAAGAGAAAGATCTTCCATCTGCCGGCTCACTCCCAATCTGGTCACAATCAGCCGGAGGTGAACTGGTCAAAAAGCCAAGAGCCAGGAGCCACCTCTGGATCTCCCATGCAGGTGCAGAATCCCAAGGCTTTGGGCTGTCCTCTACTGCTTTCCCAGGCCACAAGCAGGGAGCTGGATGGGAAGTGGAGCAGCCACTAGGACATGAACTAGGTGGCACCCATTTGGGATCTTGGCATAGGCAAGGCAAGAATTTAGCCACCGAGCCAGTGCGTCGGATCTTCTTGGTCACCTTTTAAAGCAGCAATTTCCCCCCCCACCCCCCCTTTTTTTTTAAAAAATGAATGAAATGTTTGGTATATATCAAAAAGTATGGAGAATAGATAAAAGAACACTTGTAGACCCACTACTAAGTGAAAACATTACAATTAACATACAATGATACCCTTTGTTTCATTTTATTCTCATTTTCCTTCCTAGAGGTAACTGCTGTCTTGAACTGTTAATCATTCCAGTGTGTGATATTCTGCTTCTCTGCACGGAAGCTCTCCTTTCTGAGGTTCCATCCGAGGATAGGTACACCGAGGACTGCTCTCTGCTCATCCTCCTGGGATTCTTAGCCGAGAACTGTCAAGTAGATCTGCGGGCGAACACCCCTTACCTTCCCATTGGAACGATGGTCCTGGGCTCAGCTCGGAGGAGCACTAGCCGGAGCACTTTGGCGGCAGGTTCCTGAAAACCAATGGTTGGCGTTAACTTTGAAGGTTGTTTTGTTCCCTCCCAAGTTACCAGTGCCCTGATTGGTTCATCAAGGAGCAACCTGACTCGGAGACAAAACAAGTGGAAACTCATCATACATGGTAAGAGCCAAGTCAGTGGGAAACGGTCCCATGATGCTGAAGGAAAATATTTATAACATACTGAGATTATACGTGTTAGCACTGAGATGTGCAAATTTAGGCTACCCTGGAGAATCTTATTTTACAATTACACCTTTGTGTGGCTTCGCGGCTGGGAAGCACTGTGCACTCACATTTTTTCAGGGATTATTAGCACTGAAAAGATAGACTTTAGGTTAAGGAACTAAAGATACTCAGCTCTTACTCTCCAAACACCCTAAGCAATCTTCTTCTTTTTTAGATTTATTTGTTTTTATTGGAAAGGCAGATGAGATTTACAGACAGAAGGAAACACAGAGAGAAAGGTTTTCCAATCACTGGTTCACTCCCCAAATGGCTGCATCAGCCAGAGCTGAGCTGATCTGAAGCCAGGAACCAGGAGCTTCTTCTGGGTCTATGTGGGTGCAGCATTCCAAGGCTTTGGGCCATTCTCCACTGCTTTTGCAGGCTACAAGCGGGGAGCTGGATAGGAAAGCAGAGCAGCCAGGGACATGAACTGGTGCCCATATGGGATCTCAGTGCTTGCAAGTTGAGGATTTAGCCACTAGGCTAGCATGCTAGGCCCAATCATAATCATTATCTTTTTTTTTAAGAGAAAATTTTGTATTCTCTTTTGTTTTGTGATATCTTTCAAAAATAACTAACTTCCAGAACTCTTACGTTTGTTTCTTATAAGGGGGGAGCATTTCCAAGATGCCACAATTACCTGAAATTTGGCCTGTTGTGTGTGATCCCATTAATTTACTCTAGAAGTATGAAAGCAATTCGGAAGTTATACAGGAAGCCTGGAGTAGCCACACAGCCAATTGCTGTTTCCTTTTTCACAAAATGACACTTGGAACAAAAACATTTATGGAAGGGCAAAGCCTGTTAGGTGTGGCAGAAAAGAAAAACCCACAACTTGATTTTGCCTGAAAAAAAAAAAAAATCCAGGTTGCTGTGAATATTTTCCAGGAAAGGATGTCCTAAGAACCTTGACATGTTAAAGGGATCCCTAGGCATTTGGCTGCTCTTGAATCGTACAGGAACGTGTTTTGGTAGCTTTCCCTGAGTGTCCTTTCTGGAGTAAGTACATGATGATGTGCTGGTGAAATCTGCAACAAAACTGATGGCAACAAGCAGTAATATCAGTGAGGATGATTCCAGAACCAATGTGCTGCATGACAGAAGACTGGGACCTGCCTCGGTGTGTTTCCTTGTGGGAGGGTCAGAGAGATAGGATGTGTTCCCCTCGGATCCTTTTCAACTGCAGCCCACCTCCCTGTGCCCTTCACAAAGAGAGGTCCCTAGGGCTGACGGTATGGCTTAACACGCAAATCCTTTCCCAACAAGTGCCAGTATCCCATAGGGGCACCAGTCCATGTCCCAGCTGCTCCACTTCCCATCCAGCTCCCTGCTTGTGGCCTGGGAAAGCAGTAGAGGCTGGCCCAAAGCCTTGGGATCCTGCACTCGTGTGGGAGACTGGAGGAAGCTCCTGACTCTTAGTTTTAGATCTACTCAGCTCTGGCCATTGTGGCCACTTGGAGTGAACCAGTGAATTGAAGATCTTTCTCTCTGTCTCCCCTTCTCCCTGTAGATCTTTCAAATGAAAATAAATCTTAACAAAAGGAGGCTCCTTCAGCTTAGCAAAGTCTTCAACTTTCTCCTTCCTTAATTACTCAGCTTTACAAATGTTGACTGATAGCATACTGTGAACTGGTAGGCATTGGGCACTGTGAAGACAGATGAAGATGGACCCTGTCCTGAAGTCCAGTGGCAGAGATACACAAGTATAGAAGACTATGCATCAGCCAAGGAAGTAGTTGGTCTGGGATGTAAGTTGCCTAGGCAGAGAGAAGTCTTTAGAAAGAAAAGAAAGTGCAAGGGTTCTACTCCCCCAGTGTAGGGAAAATTGGTTTCCTGGCAGAGGGGGTAGTTGTGACCAAGGGTGTCCTTGGTCAAGGAGAGTGGATGAGGTGCAATGTAGCTAGAAGCTGGGATTCAGGTGGGGGTGAATTGGGATAGGGGTAGGGTGGGGGAATGGTTCGACGAAGGTAAGGGGATATTCCTGGAAGACCTTTCCACGGGCCGTGAATGCCAGGCTCAGGAACATGGGTTGTATTCCGGACTCACTCAGCAGTTAGCACCTGCGTTTCATCAGCAGCATGATGGCATCAGATTTGCTTCAGGAGCAAGCTGTGAGCTGTGTGCTTTGGAGGAATACAAGGCCGAATCCGGGGAGCTTAGAGAGGAGGGATCTGCAGCAGAGCTTGGGAAGAAGCAATCAGCTAGGGCTGGCTGCAGGTGTGCTGCTAACAGACCATGGGCCCGTGCATTCCCGGCAGACAGGACAGTGATGAATGGATGAATGCCAAAGTGACCAAGTGGGGAAAATCGAGGATCACTTCCAGTTTCTGGTTTGAAAGGCTCAGTGAAGCTGCTGTGCAAGATTAGAAATGCATGGAAGGCTCGCTTGGGGAGAGACAATTCCTTTAGGTCACGCTCTGATTGACCTTTGTTTTTAACCAGGTGCTCTAACTCTAGGGAGAGCGAACTTGGGAAGTGGGTGCAGCAGCAAGCCGAGGGCAGGTGCCCATGGACACGGATGATTGTGTCAAGGTCAGAGAGGATGGCAGGATGAATGTGGGGAACACAGCACCTGAGGGGCTGGGGGGAGGAGAGAGCCCTGGAAGCAGATTGTGGTGCTATTTCTACAGCCGCATCCTCTCCTTCCCCAGAGGAAATGGGCATTCCTGTCATAGGCACACAGCCTCACTGGCACACAGGCACACGCCCTGGGCTCTTGCTCTGCCAAATGCCTCTTAATCTCTCCTCTCTTCAATGTCCTCCTTTCTTCTCCCCTCTCAGTATGTCTCCTGGGCAGCTCTCCCCATTTCCACTATTCTCAACCGTCAGGTCCAGATCTGATCCTCTGCTGTCAGCAAGCAGGCAGTCAGCATGCTCTGGGCAGTGAAACACTACCGTTTTCCCAAACCTGCTGCTTAGAACTGGTTCCAGCTAAATGGAGCCTCAAGGCTGCCTGCTGCTCTCTTGCCAAGGCTTTGGGCTTGGCACAATGTCATTACAACATGGTTACCCTGGCTGACACTCCTACACCCATCAGGTTCCTGACACCATGACATTGTGAGATTTCTAAAAAAAGAGACAAGAACACAGACAGCACACCAAGCCCATCCCAGACCCTGTGCCCCATGGAAAGTCCATTAAATTCTGCCTCAGACACCACTCCTTACGCCTCTTGTTGCTGAGCCTCGCTGGGTGGAGTTAGACCAACATGGTAGTGACCTACTGGGTGCTTTGCTAACGTAAAACCTTCAGAAATGAGGTGGGTAAATCAATACACAAATGAATCAACTATATCTAAGAGGCAACAGTATTCAGTATGTGCTACCTGCACTCCGGGTCCTTGCCTCCAACCTTCTATGTTACCTCTCTCACCTCCTGCCACCCAGGGGGAAAATTTCCAGACTCACCCAACATGGGCCCCTGTCCAGTGTTCTACAGGATGACCTGCTCAGGATCATTTGTTGAATTGCCCCACTCCTTGGCGTTTGTACCATCACTGCCTTAAGCCTGGTCCTCCCATCTTGTATTGCAAACCATAACTGCCAGCCCAACTCAGTTGTCTTCCATTTTGTAAAAGGACCAACTTTTGCCAAAGCTTCGTTGGCTGCTGCTCAGTTTTCACACACTTTATGAATCTGTAACTGCTCCCCAGTTTCTCCGAGAAAATCATCAGAATATGCTTCAGCAACGATTCATTGGCCCCTCTTCTGGCCTCCTCTCTGCTCTGGCCACATGGAGGAAATTCCCGAACACACCATGTTATTGCCTTTGTAACAGCATGCCCTTTCCTGTGTCACGCTAGAAATAATTCTGAGAAAGCTCTCAGCCAAGCCCCTCCTTGTGGGTGTCATTACCTTCTAAGGCAGGCACCGATGCATCCTGAACGCTGTGCAGTCTCCTCCCCTTGTTACACCCTTAGGACACCCAAATGGCAACGAGATCAAAACACAGCGTCTGGCTCGTCTGCAAAGCTGCATTCCTCCCACTGTACACTCCTGGATTTCGCAACTAAGGCATGTTTAATAAGTGTGTGTTGAGCCACAGAAAATCTTCAAACAAAATCCTCAAGTCCAACCTGGACGCGTGCAGTACCGACCCTGACCCCGGGGTGGCGCAGTGCGACTGCGGGCGGGGGCGGGGCCGACCGAGGGGGCGGGGCCTCGCGTCCCCATCTCCGGCTCCGGGCCGCCCCGCCACGCCGCGTCTCGGGGGCTGGGCCGGCCAGGTGGGCGCCGGGCTCGGGGGCGGGGCCTGCGGAGGCGCGGCTGGAGGTACCTGGTAGCAGCCGCCAGTCAGGGCCAGCTCCGCCAGCACCGTCCGGCCGTTGGCAATGCAGCTGTAGGTGATGGTCATGGCGGGCGGGCCAGGGAAGGACAGGATACTACCGGACCTAACCGCCCGCCACTGCCTCGGGGGCGTGGCTCCAGGAGAGGCGGAACCGGGCTCGGGGCGGAACTCCTGGAGAGGCGGGGCCTCAGGAGGCGGGGCCTCGGGGGAGGCCGCGCCTGCGCAAGCGCAGGTGCGATTGATTGACGGAGGGAGAGGCGGGGCTGTCTGTGCCTGGGCTGCACGGGAGAGGAGGAGCCCGCGGGGTCTTCGCTTTGGGTGGATGAAGTCTTTCTCCTTCGTGGTCGTCCTTCGAATGGCTTATTCCTTTGTGGTGCTTACCTAGATCATTCACGGTCTAGGTAGTGCAACGTGGAGACTGATGTCGAATCAGATTTGCTCACTGCTCCAACAAGTTCTGATTGAACCCCTACTAAGTGCTTAGTTAGGGTCTGCAGAACAGTTCCCAACCTTGGCTCTGAGCAGCTCATATCCTAGGAGTGCACTTGGAGCAGGTGCCGGACAGCAGGGTAACGTGTGTGCTGTGAGGTGAAGACTCGAGTGGTGCAGGAGCGGCTGGCCCTCCCTGGGAAGGGGAGCAGAGGGGCCAGGTCTCTGCCCGGCCCGGGGCATCTCAGTGCGGGAACAAACAGGGGACAGTGAACGGGAGCGTGTGGAGCTGCTGGAAGGGCTGGGCGTAGGTCAGCCGGGGAGCAGGGCGGTGGGCGAGGAGGGTGGTCGCCGTGTAGGATGACTAAGGACCTGAGACAGGAGTTCTTGAAGGCGTCAGCTGTGGAACTACATCCACGAGGCGTGGTCTCGGAAGCCACTCGAACTTGGACTCAAGTTCAGGCGTGCGTGGCCTTTTCCTCTGTTGGCTTACTGTCTGGTCGACTTTCTGAAAGTCAGCTTCGTCATGTGTCAAGTGGGAATCCTCGTCAAGTTTCCCTGATGTCGCCATGCAGAGAGGAGGGCAGAGTAGGTATGTGAACTGCCCCTCCTCTGGGAAGGATGCTCACGAGAATTCCCTTCTTGCCCCCGGTGGTTTTAATCTTAAAGGAAAGCTTGCTGAGGGGCTGGGGGTGGGAGGTGAAGACGGGCGGCAGGTTCTGTTTACTTTGACCCAGCGCAGTGGGGTTGATTTGGACAAGGCAGCGCCGTCTCTGGGCTGGGCTGCCTCCTGAAGTGGATCAGGAGTCAGTGTGTCTTGCCTTTTCCGAGGGAGTGTTCGTTACAGGCAGGGCGACTCAAGGAAAAGCCGTGGTTACCTGACTTCTGTGGAGGAAAGGAAAATCTGGGAATTTGGAGGTAATGTTTGGTATGTCCTTGCTTACAGTGAAGACAAGCCCGGTAAGCCGGGCCACCCCGCGGGCCTCTTCCGTCTAGAGAGCTGAAAGCGACTGGACAAGCAGGTGGTGAGCCGCGGCAGTGACAGCCAGAGGCCACTAGTTAACACCGTGTCCATGTGTGAGACGTTCCTATCCCAGGCTTGTCGTAGTAACTGCAAAGCTGCTGTGTTGGGTTAACATGGCACAATCCTTGTCTTCAGGCCCGTAGCAGTGGAAGACAGAGACAGAGAGAGACAGAGAGAGAGAGAGAGAGAGAGAGAGAGAGAGAGAGAGAGAGAGAGTCTTCCATCTGCTGGTTCAGGCTTCAAGTGCTCATGACAGCCAAACTGGGCCAGACTGCAGCCAGGAGCTGGGAGCTGCACTGGGGTCTCCCTGAGAGTGAGTGGCAGGGATGCAAGGACTTGAGCCACCTGCAGGCTCCTTGAGCCTGTCTCAGCATCCAGGCTAAGCTCCTTTGCCAGTATGCTTTTTCCTAAACAGACAAGTTCTCCTCTAAATGATAGCTCTTGAGCTAATTGTTGTTTATCAAAAGAAGAATATTCTTAGAGACTATGGTGTGTGATCTCTGCCTACATTCAAACAATACAATCATTCCATAAAGATAGCCACTGAGATAGCATAATTTATATTTGTCTTTGATTTTTAATGCATTGGTTCCATTTAACATGAATGGACATATCCATATTTTTCTTGTCTGCTTTTTGATGAACAGATATTGCTTTCTTTGACTCTAGATGCTTCAAATAATTTCTTATGAAGTTTGTAACTCGACTTCTTTTTTCTTTTAAGCACTTCTTCTTTAAAAAATAATTTTATAAATTTATGGTACAGTTCTCTAGACACTGGGAAGCTTAGCCCTCTAGGCCACAGTGCCGGCTTGAACGTGTTCATTCTTTCACAGATGTTTTTATTTATCTATTTTTTACCTAGTCATCCATGTTGGTATTTTTCATTTTGAAGGTGGATCTTAGTGCCCTCCTAGACAAGGCATCATTTCCTTTGGCTGGGCATTTGGCATTGAGCATTAAGACACGTCTTGTGATAATATATGTCTCGTTTTGGAGTGCTTGGTTGAAGTCCTGGCTTTGCTGCTTCTGCTCCATCGTGCTGATCGTGGGACTCCTGGGAGGCAGTAGGAGATGGATCTAACCTGTGGTCCGTGTCATGTATACGGGAGAGCTGGATGAAGCTTTTAGCCCTTCCCTTTGGGCTGGTCCAGGCCTGGCTACTGGCATTTGTGAGTTAATCAGTGGACAGGAAACTTCTCTATCTCTTCTTATCTTTCAGATAAATAAAATAACTAAAACTAAAAATCCCCATATACTTCCTGATTTTCTATTATGTTTTGGTCTGTTGGCTTGTTTTTTTTTTTTAACACCTGACCCTTTATCTCCAGGGAGATAGGAATTTATGTCTTCTCAAGTGGACACTTGAGTTATCACATATTACTTACTGAGTATTCCAACCCTTTTCCGTTAATTTAAAATGCCCCTGTTGCCATAGTCTAATTTCCCCCATTACTGATTGGACTTTAGAGCTGATTTATATGCCCATTTCTATGCTAGCATCATAATAATTCAATACTTGTAGCTCAACTTCCTTTAGATTTTGCATATCAGAGAATAATGTGTCTACAATGTTGAGAGTCATCCCATCTCAGAACACAGGTGTTTTAATTCTTTCTTCTTTATGTGATCTTCCTCTGAGAGCACTGTAAAGGTTTTCACGAAGGCTTGACAAATGTGCTGTTTATGCTGGTGGTGTTTGGCTTGTTAATGTAGTTTGTTCCCTGTTGTATTTTCTTTTTTTTAAAAAAAATTTATTTTATTATTTTATGATACAGATCCATAGGCTCTGGGATTTATCCCTCTCCCCTCCTCACTGAGTTTCCCTATATTATTACAACAAAATCATCCTCCATAAACAGTTGTAAGTCCAGCATTCTGCTATTTAAGTGTATTCTGACATTGTAGGCATGGACAGCATCCTATTGTCAAGATCTGTTTAACAGTTCCACTGGGAATCTATCTTGGATTTGGAAGTTCCCTGCTGTATTTTCAAGGCAGAGTTTGCCCTCTGTCATGTTTTCAAGCTGGCGGGTTCTGGCGGGCAGGAAGTGTATGGGGCACAGTCAGTTCTGTGTAGAGCCTTGCTCCAGCGGAGCCTCTTTTTCAGAGGCTTCCTGTGGAACGGTAGGTGGTGCTTTGTTCAATGTGAACACGGCTGAGAATACTGGCATTGTGTTTTGGAAATTTAATTAATTTATTTGGAAGGCTGAAAGAGAAATGGGGGAAGGGGAAAGAGAGAGAAAGAGAGAGAGACAGAGAAGGAGAGAGAGAGATTGAGTGCTTTTCTTTGCACTCCTCCAAATGCATGCAACAAAGAGGGCTGGATTGGGTGGAAAACACAAGTTTGAAGTTCAATCCAGGTCTCCCCTGTGAGGGGCGGGAACCCACTCCCCGAGCCATCACCTGTTGCCACTGAGGGTGTGCATTAGTCAGATGCTGGAAATAGGAGAGCAGCCAGACTCTAATCTCAGCGCTCTGATGGGGAATGCTGAGGCCCAACCAGGAGTCTGACCACAGTCACCTAGCTGCCACAGGACACTGTCGTTGACATTGTATTCGGCTTCTGCACTCCTCTCTACAACCAAATCTCTCCACCCCTCTGGAACTTGAAGCAACAATGAAGTGGAAAGTAGATGCTAACTCATGGTAGCCTAGTGGGGGCAGAGACGGAAGGAACCAGGCAGATCTGAACTTGAATCCTGATTGACCATTTTCTAATTATATAGCTTTGGCATCTCCTATTGTTTTTTCCTTAGGAAATCAACAAATTCACAAAATAAGCGGAAGTAGATAAAGTGTCTCATGACCAAGGTGTTCCAGGACAGATGGTTATTCTGATCGGTATGGTTTCTTACTGTTTATAACCAGATCTAACCAATATGATGCACATTTCTGACTTGGGGAAACCTGCCAGCAGGTCCCGAGGCCACTAAGGGGTGTTCTGCAAGAACCCCCAGGGACAGACTGGTAGGGGGTCTCCTATTTATCGTGTACAATTTAAAAGCTGATAAAGGCTAGGGAAGAGGAGGGCTGAAGGGCGTCTTCCGACAGTTCCCCACCCACCAAAGACACTGTAATTGGCTAGAAGGCATGTCTATTATCCTAGACCCTCAAGTCATGTCAGAGGTCATGGTCACACATGCAGGGCTGGAAGCTGTGCCTCAGGTCATGGGCAGGTGAGCTGTAGTCACGGCCACCAGAGACCCAGGGGTGATCTATATTTCTGGCCCAGCATGATGGCTCAATTGGCTAATCCTCCCCTTGAAAGTGCCAGGATCCCAAATGGGCTCTGATTCATGTCCTGGCTGCTTCACTTCCCATCCATCTGCTTGTGGCCTGGGAAAGTAGTGGAGGATGGCCCAAAACTTTGAGACCCTGCACCCGTGGGAGACCTGAAGAAGCTCCTGACTCCTAGCTTTGGATCAGTTCCGCTCTGGCTGTTGTAGCCATTTGGGGCGTGAACCATCGGATGGAAAATCTATCTCTCCTTCTCTGTAAAATCTTGCTTTCCAATACAAACAAGTAAAATCTTCTTACTTAATGTAAATGTGCTTAAATGTACAGTACATTTTTAATGCACATTTTTGAAATTGTGGCCTGGCCTGCACATTTACTGGCCATATCTGAGTTATTGTTAAAGGAGCAGGTTAGAGACATTTCCTGCGTTCCT